GTTATCATGTATGCAGTCGTTAGTGATGTCAACGCCTGAATTAATTTAGAAATAAAATAGGAACGTTGAATTTGTTTTCCTGACTAAACAACAACAAAAATATTCATAAAATTTTAACTGGCCCATTTTGTTTAAGCAAAAATAACACGGAAAATGATTTTTCCTTTTTTTTTTTAGTATTGAGTATTAAGCTTTATTTAAATATATAAAATCTAAAAAATTTTTTGTTAAGTTTTTTATGAAACTTTATTTGATTTAAAAAAAAATTATTCCATTCTAATGTAAGTGTAATTAAAACAAAACTTTATTAAAAAAATAAAAAGCAATCAACAGTAACAATTAAAAAACGACCAATAAAAGCAATTAAAAAAATCAATCAAATAAAATAAACTTTTTTATTCTTGTGATGATGTTGAGTCGTTTAGAGGTACTAGAGGTTGAGTTGACTTTTCACTTATGCGGCACCTTTTGGTGCAATAAAACTCAGCGCCATTTACGTATCTCTTTGGTATGCATGTTTGACATATTCATTTATTATAACCATTTTATAAAAGCAGTAAGTAAAAGTCATTTAGATTTAGCTAGAAAAATATAACATAACTTTTTTTCCTAAATTGCAAATTCAAATTTGAAAAAAAGTTCTTGATCAGCGTAAAAAGTTGTACCAGATAACATTTTAAGTTCAATAATACCGAATTTATTTTCCGAGAGTTTTAAGTTCCCCTTTTCAAACAAATAAAAAAAATCTTATTACGCATTCAAAGACTTATAAATTCATAATAAAATTTTTTTTATTAAAAATAAGTTTTATACAATCTTTCTCAGAAAAATCTTCTCTACAATATAATTTAAAAACATTTGCAAAAAAATCATTCAATAGTTAATTAAGAGCGAAAGAATAAACATTGTCATAACTATTTCATTCTACCCGCTATTTCATTTTACCCTGTTTTACTCTATTTCGTGATTTAAAAAATATTTCTGGCTTGAAAACATATTTTGCGATTTAAATTATATTTCTGTATTTAAACTAGGAAAGAGTTGCCATAATTGGAACAGCGCCTTAACTAGAACACTTTTATTTTTGAAAAAAAAAAAAGAATTACGGCTATATTGTGCTTTTTTTTTTTTAGTAAAACGCCTTATTTTCTACGTTTTGACACATTTTGAAAGTTATTTCTCAAAAAATTCATGTGAACCATTGATTTAAGTTTTTTTTGCGTCATTTTTTTTTTGATGATCTATTTTTGTGTTCCATCTCGTTTTTCTTTTTCGTTTTTTTATAAATAATACATTGTGACCTGTTCGCTAGGTTCTGTTCTCTTCAAACCAAAGTAAATTTTTATTTTTTACTCCATTGAGTTCTAGTTTTTTTATAAGTATCTTTTTTGTTTGTTTGTTTGTTTGTTTACATTTGACGTAATATATATAAATTACATATTTTTCACCCAGTGGGCACCCGACGTCAATCCGACGTCGGTTTTACGTTTGATTTTCATCAGCGATGTCAAAAGACCTATTCCGACGTTGTTCCGATGTCAGTAAAATGACGTCGGGCGATGTCTTTATCTCAACATCCCCTGACGTCGTTTCGATGTATTTTGACGTTGTTCCGACATCTTATAAAAGACGTCCAAAAAACGTCGCAGTACTGACATCGATCCAACGTCGATAAAAAGACGTCGGGCAACGTCATAATATAAACGTACTCCGATGTCTTTTGACGTCTTCCGACGTCAATCCAACGTCCTTAAAACGTCGTCGGAACAACGTCGTAAGACATCGCTGATGAAAATTTAATCCAAACCCAACAATATGTGTGCAATTGCGCTCTTCAATAATTATGTGAACTAAGCGTGTTTTTTTATTAATGGAAAAAAGTTTGAATAAAGGTTGATAAAACATCAAGAGGTTTTGTATGATGCACTAACATAGTTTTTTAACTATTAACATTTTCGAGTATTCATTTTTTATAATATATAACTATTCGTTTTAATATTTATATAATATTTAAACAAAATTATTTCTTATCAAAGTAATAATTCCCAAATAGCTACAAGTATAAATTACTAAATAAACCCATCAATTAATATGTCCTTGTGGTGTAGTGGTAAGCGCACAGGATTTAGAAACTTATATACCGAGGTTCGATTCCTGCTAAAAGCAGCGTTTTTTAGTTTTCAAAAAACACGTTGGATTTACATCGGAATGCCGACGTCGCGCGATGTCAGTTTATCCGACGTCAAATAACATTTCCATTTCCAACGTAAACCCAACGTCGATCCGACGTCGAGATCCGACGTCGCTCGACGTTCGTTCGACGTCGAAATGCCCACTGGGCAAATACAAACACGATTTCTAAAAGAAGATCACAATGATCTTATCGTCAGAAGCCTTTTACAAAAGGGAGTACGTAACATATTATAAAAACGCCTTTTTACAATAAAAGTACGTAAAAAATCATATAAAAACAATAAATCGTTTTTACAAAAATGAAAATAAATTGTAAACAAGTATAAAACAAAACTTGAACATACATGACAATAAAGTTTATTATTATCTTGTTTTTTATCACAAGATAAATTAAAAATATTCTAAGATATTTTCAATAGAAAGAATGTGGTCTTTTAATTTATTTTTAAAAACAGGATAAGTAAGGGGTAAGTCGAAGTTAGGCAAAATAATTTTGTTCCAGAGATGAGTTGCACAATAAGTGATACAAAATTGATTGAATTTTGTTCGACAGAATGGTTCATTTAAGTAGTTATTATTCCTCATGTTAAACTTGCTTAATGGTTTCAAAATAAAAAGATCTTTAAAAATTAAAGGAGATAAATCATGTTTCCACATAGACAAAAGATAAATTTTTATATACGTTTAGTTTATATATATCTAGGATTTTCATTTGATTAAAAAATATTGAGGAATGTGCAAACCGATCCGCAGAATTAATTAAACGGATCGCATGTTTCTGACGGCGATAGAAACATTGTAACTTGCTTTGATCAGTGCTACCCCTGGCAATAACTTCATAACTTATATAACTGTGGATAAAAGAGTAATAAAGTTTAGTTAAATTATTTTTATCTAAATGAGTACGCGTCTTATATAAAATTCCGATACTTTTTGAAACTTTCGAGCAAACATAGTTAATATCTTATGGTTAACAGTGTCAAAGTTAGTATCTTATGGTTAACAGTGTCAAAGGCTTTCAACAGATCAATAAAAACTCCTAGAGTAAAATAGTCATTACTGAATGCATCCGATACATGATTAATTAGTTTGATTACAGCATGGTTAGTTAAATTATCTTTTTGAAATCCAAATTGTTTGTTTGTACAGCAAACTGTTTACCATCAAATAGTTGTAAAGTCTGTTGTACATAATTCGTTCCAATAATTTTGAGAAGCAGGGTAAAACAGAAATAGCTCTATAGTTCTTAATATTAGTTTCGTCACCAGATTTAAAAATTGGAGTGATTAAGGCAACTTTAAGTTTTTTCGGCACAAAACCTAGTTTTAATGAAAGATCGAAAATAAGAAATAATGCTTTAAATTAGATTTAAATTAGATTCTTCCATAAAAGAATTACATGATTTCATATAAAATTCATATATATATATATATATATTTTTTATCATAAATCATTTCACCATCAATTAAAAGCTTTTATGGGAAATTAATTTTTTTACATTCATTTTTACCAATTATTT